TAGATATAAATAACAAGAAAGTGGAGCTAGAAGATAAATGACACTGAAGTAGGACATGACAAAGCGAAATGTGGACTTTCAAGTGGAAACACGATGTTGGAAAACGCAGCATTGAAATGGGGTGCCAAGAGATGGTGGATGGAACATGTTACCCTACTTACTCAGAAATTTCCATCACAATTGGTCTCATTTGGCATTTAATACCTCCTTCATATCTTAAAGTATCCTTTAAGGAAAGAAACATGATCAAATATCATTCAAGTTTCCTAGTAATAAATTATTTAAAATTATTTATTTCAGAAGTTGAGTGAGGATAGTTGTACTCCATCCCCTTTCAATTGTTTTACATTAAAAAACATCAAAACATAAGGCAACGATTAGTTTAGATCTTGAATTGAAAAGAAATAGGGTTCAACTAGTACAGAACAGTCAGGTTGTAGTAAGTTTTGAATACAACTCATCCTTGATGGACATTGAGATTCTTCTGTCTGGCCTGAGGTATTGTTTCACAAATTGCAAATACTGTAGGATGAAAAGTAGCATTCCCAAGGTCATGGAGAATTCGATATGGAAGCTCTGGTAAGCCACACTATTTATAGTGAATAATAAGCTTTTAACATCACTATTGTATCACATTCCCCAATACAGTTGGAATGAGCTCTTGATAGTATGGGGAAGGGGAATTGTCTGAATGTCCTAAATGAGCCTCCTCTAATTTGGTTAGAGATGCTTCAGACTAAAATTCCCAAGCAGCTGCTCTCAGTTAACAGGGCCTTCTACATTAAACGTGATCTCTTTACTAAACCTGGTACATTCCAGCAGTCAACGTGATGTGAGGCCAGAATTTTGAAACAATGCATCACAAATAACCATGTTAGTTATATGTGTTACTTTAGTAATGAGGGGCTAACCATGCTACTTTGAACATTTCACAACTTATATAGCTCAGTGAGTTGGAGTATCTGGCTTCAGAGCCAAAGGTCAGACTTGTGACCTCTATTGTGCCTCCACAGAGAATGGCCGGGTTGAGTAGCCATGGACAAGCTGAGCAGTCCCAAAAGAAGAAAGGACTGGTAAATCACTCTAGAATGCCTTATATCGAGAATGAGTGCAATAAACATAGTGTTAACACTACATAATTATCATTTTATTAAGTTGTTTTAATTTGTTTTATTATAATGTGAATCAGTTATTCATTACTTCAGGATGTAGCTTTTGGAAGGCATTTTCAAGGAATTTGGAGCTATTTTATCCATTTTTAATTTTTTTTTAAAGGATTCTAGAATCCAAAAAGTTCTACCTGGCAGAGAAACACCTTTCAGACACCAAAAATGTGGCTCAACTGGAAGGCTTTGAGGCTGAGCTAGGCCTAGCTCCACCTGGCTTCCTGTTCAGAAAGGAAGGGCCTGTTCTCATTGCTGGAATAAACTGCTAGAGGAATTGGTTTTTTTTTTAAAAAAATCAGGCTAAAGTCACATGGATTTTAGCCCAAGTCCAAAACTTTTGGGGCGGTGTGTGTATCTTCATCCTGCCGCTGTTGCCTCAGACTCCCTGCTGCTGCCACTGCAGGCTCCCCTCTGCCATTTCTACTGCCACAGTCTCTTATATGAGGTGGGTTCAACAAGAGTGGGGGTAGTGAGAATGGAAAGGAAGGGGGAAGGACAAGAGGAAAAGGGTCAAGAGGTGAGGGTTGGAGGGCACAGCAACAGGTACCTGAGAGGTGGGCAAGTGAGTGAGCAAGAGGGCAGCAGCATGGGTGAGAGGGCAAGCAAGCAAGGGGGCAACCAGGCAGGCAGTAAATGAGTGAGGGGGGTTGAGGGGGTGGACAAAAGGGCGAGCAGGCGGATGGGGGGCAGTGAGTGAGTGAAGTGACCTGTTGAGTGGAGGGGCAAGTGAGTGGGCAAAGGGGTGAGTGGGTGGGTACAGTTTTTTTCAGGAAGCTCAGTGTTTTAGCTTTTTTTGTTGTAAAAAATCCTATCTGATAGCTGGAATAAATATAAAAAGTGGATGTGGTGTTCACATATGCAGAATTGATTCCAATAAATTGATTCCATATCCACCTGAAAATAAATAGACCTCTGACAGGGAATCTGAAAAATATACTCTCCTGGCACAGTGCTCTGCATGTTTGCATACCTGGTGTGTACGCTAAAATTCAATTCATTTTTAAAAAGGAGAACCTGGAACAACAGCTTTTTTTCTGTCAGTGGCAGAACAGAAAGACTGGGCTGAGCTAGGGCTGCCTCTGCCTAACTTCCTATTCAGAAAGAAAGTGCCAGCTAGCGGTTGAGTAGAACAGGCCAGCTAGCAGTTGAGTAGAACAGGAAACTTGGGAAGAGTTAGGCTGAGCTCAACCTCAGAGGCTTTCAGCTGAGACTTTTCTCCCAGGTGAACTACACTGAAATGTCTGTTAGTAAGACAGAACTCCCAGCATGGGGAATTATGGAATTTGTAGTCCAAACAATTTAAAAATCTCATTCCGGCTCCTGCATTTATCCCTAAACTCTGAAGCCAAGATTTTAGTGTTGTCAAGGAGTGCATTTGCATAGTTAAAGCTCTGGAAATGTCTGTTTAGGCTATCATCACACACACCTTAGTTACATCTAGAAATGTGCACAAACTGCCAGTTGAGCAGTTTGTGCCAGTTGGTTTATCACCCAAATAGGTGTTTGGTGATTCTGAGCCCTGTCTCCTCCAGCAGGTGCCCACTCAAAGGCAGAGCCTCAGTTTCCCTGCCCTGCCTCCTCTGAACCCTGCCTCTGAGTAGGCACCACTGTTCAGACAAATAAACAAACTGGCATGAACTGCAAAACCAGCAGTTGTTGTCCATCTCTACTTGCAGTCATGGCTAAAGATATTGGCACCCTTTTCTATTTTTTGTCAGAAAATCCAACCCTTCTCTCAGAAAATTGTTGCAGTTGCAAATGGTTTGGTGCTCACATGTTCATTTCTTTGGTTTGCGTTGGAACAACCCAAAAACACAGAGAAGAAAAGTCAAATCTGATACAATTACATATAGAAACCCAAAAATGCACTGGCCAAAATTATTGGCACCCTGTCTAAATTGTAAGAAATAATTGCTTTTCAAGCATGTGATGCTCCTTTAATTTGTATTTAGACACACCTGTCATAAGTAAGAGATGTGGGCAATATAATAATCACACCTGCAACCAGTTAAGATGGAGAAAAGTTGACTCAACCTTTGTGTTGTGTGTGACACTGAGCATAAAGAATGAAGTACAAAGAGTTGTCTGTGGATTGAAGAGAAAATATTGTGGAAAAACGTTGACAATCTCAAGGCTACAAGTCCATCTCCAGAGACCTTAATGTTCCTGTGTCCACTGTGTGCAATATCAAGAGGTTTACAGCCCATGGCACTGTAGCTAGCCTCCCTGGATGTGGATGGAAGAACAGAATTACTGAAAAATTACAATGAAGGATTGGTTGAATGGTTGATACAGAACCCAGATTAACTTCCCAACAAATTCAAGCTGATCTGCAGACACAGAGTACAACAGTGTCAGCTCACACTATCCATCACCATTTGAATTAAAAGGAATGCTATGGTAGGAGACCCAGGAGGACACCACTGCTGACACAAAGGTATAAAAAAGGAAGACTAGAGTATGCCAAAACGTATGCGACAAAACCACTATCTTTCTGGGAGAACGTACTGTGGACAGATGAGACAAAAGTTGGGTTTTTTGGTCAAGGACATCATGGCACTGTTTACAGAAAAAGAAATGAGGCATTCAAAGAACAGTCAAACATAGTGGAGGTTCAAAGATGTTCTGGGGTTGCTTTGCTGCTTCTGCCACTGTGTGAATGGTATCATAAAATCTGAGGATTATCAAAGAATTTTGGGGTGCAACATAGTGGCCAGTGTCAGAAAGCTGCATCTCCACCAGAGGTTATGTGTCTTCCAGCAGGACAGTGACCCGAAACACACTTCAAAAAGCACTCAGAAATGGTTCCAAACAAAGCGCTGGAGAGCTCTGAAATGGCCAGCAATGAGTCCAGATCTGAATCCCATGGAACACCTGTGGAGAGATCACAAAAGAGCAGTTGGGAAAAGGCGTCCTTCAAATCTGAAGCCCCTGGAGCAGTTTGCAAAAGAAGAGTGGTCCAAAATTCCAGTAGAGAGGTGTAAGAAACTTATTCATGGTTACAGGAAGTGATTGATATCAGTTATTTTTTCCAAAGGGGGTGCTACCAAATATTAAGTTAAGGGTGCCAATAATTTTGGCCAGTGCATTTTTGAGTTTCTGTGTGAAATTGTATCAAATTTGACTTTTCTTCACTGTTTTTGGTGTGGTTCCAAATGTTTTCGTTCCCTCCCGTAAATAACGAAAAAAAGTAGCAAAGTTTCATTTGAGATTATTTTTTTCTTTTGTTATACTTTCCAACCACTTACTTACCTCAGACCAGAAAATTTCTACTCTTGGGCATGTTAACCACATATGTTCCAAAGTTTCTTTATTCCTGGACTTCCTCCGACACATGTCTGATATTTCGTTATTTATTCTATTTACTTTTACGGGGTATAAGTACCATCTGTGCAATACTTTTAACACTGTTTCTTTAGCTTGAGATCTTGATTTGTAAGGTTGAGAGGTCCATATTTGTTTCCATGTGTTTTCTAATATCACAGTTATCTATCTATCTATGTATATCTCAGATATTTCTATGCCACCTTTCTCTCCAAAAGGACCCAAGGCAGCTCACCCTGTGCTAGTGGTAAACCAGACCGCCAAAATATCTGGAGCCCTATCTCCCCACTTTGTGCCAAGGCGTCCAGAACTCCTGGCAGAAAGTGCAATATTAAACTGCCCTGTTTACTACTGAGGACTCCATTTTCTTGGAATGCATCCTGCGCATGAAGAGGGGCATGTACATGGTCACTGGGAGATCGGGATCAGATGCTGTAAATATAAAGTAGCTGCTTTGTTGTTTCTGCTCCAGTTTGGGAGGTTTAAACTGAAGACCCATGGGATGATTACCTGATTGATCCATACATTGGTGGTCATGATCTGCTCACGTTCATTCTAGGGCAGAAGAAAAAGAAAGATTGCTATTGAACATATGGATAAGACACATTCTGAAGAAATCATATATGAATCAGTTCAATTGCTTTTGCACCAATGCACCGTTGTTCTTGTCTCCTGGTGGTTCCCTTGGCGGGGTATAAACGCAGCTGCAGCAGATGAAGTATAACACCCTTGGTTTCCTGACCCCAGTGGTAGGCCCGGTTTAACCCCCCCCCCAAGGAAAGCCGCCTCCACCTCCAGAGGACTCCCTGGCCTTCCCTGCCACCTATTTCAGTCCCCAACCTGATGTTGGTATCATTTGAGCTGCCTCAAATGACTCTGGGAATTGCAGTTCCACCTCAAGCCCAGAGGAAAAAATTGTGGGCAGTCAGGGAACTTCTTTACTCCTGCGGCGCAGCTCTGGATCATTCACCGTTGTTCTTGTCTCCTGGTGATTCCCTTGGCGGGGTATGCCCCTCTTTTGCTGTGTTCTTGTCATCAGTTGTCGTCAGTTTCAGGCTCTTCTGCTGATCATGACGCTGTCACGATAATACAGCAGAGGCAGCACGCGATGAACTGCCTCACCTTCCATGGCTTCATTGAAAGCTTCATATATGAATCAGCTCAATGTTTTTTTCACCAATGCATCATTGTTCTTGTCTGCTGATGATTCCCTTGGCAGGGTATAAATGCAGCTGCATCAGATGAAGTATAATACCCTTGGTTTCCTGATGAAAGATCTTGGGTCTCCTCTGGTAGGTCCAGTCTAACCCCCCCCCCCGGGTTAGAATACTTCACTTAATGTTGGTATCATGCCTCCATATCTTGTTCATAGGAGCTATGACTTCTGGCAATGGATGATTTCCTGGGGGGGGTGGAGTATAAAGGCAACTGCGACAAAGGCAGTAAAATAGATTTGTCTTCCTCAACCCACTTGTTTTGTAGGAGGAAAGGTATTGGGTCTTTCCCTCTTTTTTGTTTTTAGAAGTTGTTGCCAAGCTGTTTTCCATGATGACTCAATTCAAGAAAAGAACAGCTCCGGCCACAAAATTTTGAATCTACTTGCCAATGGAACTCCTGGTAGGCCCTGTCTAACCCCCCCGGGAAAGCCGCCTCTGCCTCCGGAGGACTCCCTGGCCTTCCCTGCCACCTATTTCAGTCCCCAAACTGTTAGAGTAGTTTACCTGGCAATGGTGTTCTGTCTCTGACTCTTTTCCCTCTTTGGAGTTGTCATTAATTGCCAGCCCTGCTGGCGATTTCGGTGGAGAGACACAAACGCAACATAAGCAACAAGTTAGAATGAACTTCCCCGCCCTGAATCTCTTGCTCGAGGAAACATCTTCTGGTGTCTTTTACTCTCTAGTTTTTGGTTATGCTGACAGCGAGCCTCTGCTGCTTTCCAGATTCTTGTCTCTTGAGGACAACATGGCTCTACCTCAGAGAGAGGCAAAAAGTCTCTGCTGGACCAGATATTTATAAAGGTGATGAACTGCATCACAAAATGGGATGACAAAGTTTGGTCAAGGTATTGTTACCCAGCAGGCCAAACATGGGAGGCCTGCCTTGTTTTCCTTACTGGTAGCAAATTGGAAACAAGGACAACAGTATACAGAAAGCACTTGTCTTTGCTTTGGAACCATCGTTCTTAAAATTCTTTGGGCTATCGGGTCCAAAGCCTGGAAGACAGCCCATCTAGGAGAAGGAAAACTCCCGTTTCAAACCTCCACTGCCTTGTGGCTATATCCACTGATGGAAAAGGCTTAAGTTAACCTCGAGGCAAAATCTGGAGCTGGAGTCCCGGAGGCAGTCCTGGATGAGTCCTGAAGGCTACTCTTGGCCTCAGTAGCAGGCCAGTTTTGTAGACACCTGGTGTGTCAGCAATGCCTATGCTGAGTAGTTAACATGGCACAGACTGGAGCATAGCATTGGGCTAAGAGTATGTTTCAGTGCTTTTCTTGTGGTTTCTGCTCACCAAAAAACTTGTGGTAACTTCAAGGAAAAATATTTGCAGGGAAGTAAACATGTGGGACTGTGTTTCTCAGGATTATGTTCCTCAGGTTTTTTTTAACCGTTTGCTTAACAATCTCTCCAGATGTTTTTGGACTGCAACTCTCATAATTCCTTACTATTGTCCATCCAGATTGGACATGATTGGTATTATCTGTGAAAAACCTCTGGAGGGCTACAGCTGCTTTAGCTCCTTGGCAGAAGAGGGCATGATAAGAAAGAGAAGGTGATGGGAAGAGAAAAGGAGGGAGGTATAAGCTTCTGCCCTGCTCACTACAGGCACTCAGAATATGGTTCTTAACACTCAAGTGTCTCTCACCGCACTTCCCCAAAGACAGGCTGCCCACTTGTAGAGAAAGATAACTTTCTTTCTTGAACAGAAAGTAGGGTGGAACTCTGGGAAGCCCCACAATATTGTTGGCACTGGGGGAAAACATGAGGGGATGTTCCTCTACAATAAGGAAAGGAAAGGAAAGAATTGCTGGCCCTTAATGCTGGCCCTTAATAATGTACTTTAATGCAATACTGGTCTTGTTTGTTTTTCATGTCCACACAAAGAATAAAAACGGAGGTGAGATGAAACTGCAAATGCTTACCAATAATAATAATAATAATAATAATAATAATAATAATAATAATAATAATAATAATAATAATAATAATAATAATAATAATAATAATAATAATAATAATAATAATAATAATAATAATAATAATAATAATAATAATAATAATAATAATAATAATAATAATAATAATAATAATAATAATAATAATAATAATAATAATAATAATAATAATAATAATAATAATAATAATAATAATAATAATAATAATAATAATAATAATAATAATAATAATAATAATAATAATAATAATAATAATAATAATAATAATAATAATAATAATAATAATAATAATAATAATAATAATAATAATAATAATAATAATAATAATAATAATAATAATAATAATAATAATAATAATAATAATAATAATAATAATAATAATAATAATAATAATAATAATAATAATAATAATAATAATAATAATAATAATAATAATAATAATAATAATAATAATAATAATAATAATAATAATAATAATAATAATAATAATAATAATAATAATAATAATAATAATAATAATAATAATAATAATAATAATAATAATAATAATAATAATAATAATAATAATAATAATAATAATAATAATAATAATAATAATAATAATAATAATAATAATAATAATAATAATAATAATAATAATAATAATAATAATAATAATAATAATAATAATAATAATAATAATAATAATAATAATAATAATAATAATAATAATAATCGTCATCATCGTCATCATCGTCATCATCATCGTCATCTCTGACTTCAAACCTCCACTGCCTTGTAGCTATATCCACTCATGGAAAAGGCTTTAGGAGTTAACCTCGAGGCAAAATCTGGAGCCAGAGTCCCGGAGGCAGTTCGTGTCATTCTGTCAACTCCTGCAACGTCACTGAAACCAGTTGTATTGGCTCTTGCCTTTCCATTGGACCATTTCAGCGATGTGGAGAGGGGGGATTTGATGCTTGGATAACAGCCTATCCCCCATATGATTTTACCCAGGCTTCATGCCCTGGAGAGGACACTCCAGCTTCACGTACAGCGTCAAAAGAGTCGATGCTGTTCCAAGTCCATACAGAGCACGTCACCATAGTCTCTCGAGACTGAAGGATGCCTATGAAGTTTTTAAGTTCGTCTCCCAAACTGTCTTGGATCCCATATTGTCTCCAAGTTGTTTATCTATAACACTTTTATAAATTACTTAAATTAACCCTGTGTTCCTTTTATTCCCTATCTCTATACAATATTTCTCTATTTGAGAATGGTCTATTTGAGCCCGGTGTTTTATGCAGTTGAGTTGCCAAATTTCTAATTTGGGTTATCTGATATCACTTAGTTACTATATGCCTAGTTTTCTCCTGGAGCTGTCTGATTATAATAAGTTTTCCTTGTATAAACAAGTCTCATATTCTATACATTCCTCTCTCTTTCCATTGTTTAAATTGTGTGTATTTATCTTGAAATTTAAATTTAGGGTGTTCTGATATAGGACATAATGGAAATATAGGGGGATATTATCTTATATTTCCTCCATATTCGGAGTAATTCTTTAGTAAAAGGATTCTGAATTTGTTTCTCATTTGTCAAGATTCTTTCTTTATATCTTCTCTCTCCATTCTTGCCCATTCAGGAGTCTCGCAATCTTGTATAAGTTTGATTATTTGGGCTATTTGGAAAGCTTCATAATATTTTAATAAAAATGGAGCCTTCCATTTCTACCTGGGCCACACTTAACTGGGTTTATGAATCTCAGGGATTTACTTTTCCCTGCAATAAATTTTTCCAATATGTTTTGCCGTTGTTTTATCTTTTTCATTTCCAATTGTAGAGGGATAATTTGAAATAGAAATAGAAGTTTTGATAGGACATGAGCTTTTACTATTGCAATTCTTCTCAATAGTGTTAGGTTTAATCTTTTCCATTTTTAAATTTTTTCCTTTATAGAACTAAATACTTTTTAATAGTTCCTATAGACTAGTTGCCTTATATTTTTTGATATCCAAATTCCCAAATATTTGAAACTTGAATAACATAGGTCTAAACCTGTTCTTTTCTTAATTTCTTTTTGTTCTAGGATAGGAGTATTTATGCATAGCAATTTAGATTTATCATAATTAATTTTTAATTAATATTTGCACTCACCATAGAACCACTTGTGGCACTTGTTAGAAAAAATATTAATATTAGAGGAATAATGGTTAGAAATAAACAGCATAAAATTAATTAATACACTGACAATATACTTTTATTCCTAGAATCCCCAATGGAAAGTATAGAAACATTGAAACAAATATTGGAAGAATTCAAAAGTTATACAGGACTTGCTTACCACAGCTGGCTTACCAGCCAGGAGAAAGTGGCTGTGAGAATTAACCAGCAGGAGGGCTTCTTAAAAATTAACACCAACAGAGACGGTTCACATATACAGGAGTTGGTTTAAATGAACCAATTCCATATCCCCGTTAAAATAAATGGCCCTCTGGTGGAAGAATTAAAAAACACCTCACTGCTACTCAAAAATATTCCATGATTTCCTGTCAAATTAATCCATCCTTCCACATGTGTCATGTATTCACCATTTTTACATCAATTTAAAGCATGCTAACCTGATTTACTCTCTGAACTGTGTAGGTGGCTCGTGATTTGTGCTGTGTGACTCATTCCACCTATAGAAATGCAGACAGGCCCCCGATCAATACTTGTTAAAGTCTTGCACCAACGAGACAGCAATTCTTTCCTTCATCTGACCCCAGCCGCATGCTATAGGGGTATTATGAATATTAAATAGTAGCCACCACATTTTGTCTTGCAGGGAGGAGTACGAAAGGTTTCCAGCATATTAGAGCTTTGAACTTGGGAATTTGAATGTTTAATACAATATGTCTCTTGGTTGGTGATACTAAAAACAAGCTAAATAACACCACTTTACTCTGTGTAATCATGTTAGACCTTCATTTATTCTTTTTATCTGTTTGGAAAGAGTTATCTTAAATTCCAATATGCATTCTGAGAAATATTATTTTTGGGTTGGGGCTAAATCATTCTGTCTAAATAAATAAACAAACAAACAAACAAACAAACAAACAAACAAATCCTAATTAGGATCACAGAGTTACATGCAGAGTCACATGCAGATTGCTGACTGTGGAATTTTAGGCTGAAATAGAAAATTGAACATATTTAACCTTTGTGGTATCACAGAAGTGAAGCCTTTTATGATATCCAGGAGTGGTTTCAAAGATTGCAAAGATCATACGTGCAAAGATCATGTGCTCATGCAACAAAAAAAGTTCACAAGTTGGAATACTTATTATATGCCATTGAGCGACATCCAGCCTATGGCACACTTTCCTCAACCTTGCACGACAGAGCATGTGAAATTATAGCGGGACCTGAGATCCCCAGCTTGTTTCCTTTGGGTCTATGTGCAGCCTGAATTGCCACCTCCTATGAGCAAGTACCAGTTAGCCTTGCTTGTATTACTTCACAAGATGTAATGTATGATGATTATGTTATAGTATTATGATTGCACACATTCCAGTGAAATAGTATCTGTTGCTTGTGTTGCTGTTTTTAATTAAAGATTGCTACATTGTAGGTTGGATTTGATATTTGGAGCGGGATGGAGATGACTGGGTTTCCTGAGAGGCTTACCTTCAGTTTCCTCTCAGGTGAATACATACCGCGTTGCTAGCAAATTGCCTGGGTTGACTTGGGCTTTGTCCAGTCATTACATTTTCTATTGGATCATTCCCTGAGACAGAGAAAGTAACCTGTCGGAACAACATC